GTTGCCGTTGCCGTTGCCGAAGCCGTTGCCGTGCTGCGGCCGTTGGTCCTCCTACCTGAAGGCGCGGCGCCTTCCTCGCCTTCCTCGAGGCACTCGCTTGTGCACCAACCCCCTACTCTGCGCTGTACTCTGTTGGCGGTGCCGCAGGTGCGCAACGAAACGGAACGCATGGCGACTTCTTGCGCACCAGCTTCAGATACTAGTGAGTGCATCGCGTCGGTCGCCGGCCGTCGCACGACGTTGTCTTCGACGAGGTGGTAAGGTAATCGCACGAACGCAGATTGTATATAACAACTGGTAACGACGGAAACGGTGACTCATCGAAACGGTGAATGAGAAAGTCAACCGGATTTTTCACTGAGTTTTTCTTTACCGGTCGGCTAGCTGGAAACGGTCCGTTGACAACACGGCTCTGTTCTGCCAGAAGTGAGCCGCTCTCGGAGCAGAGAAGAAATCTGTAGCACTTTCCTGGCTGCCAACGGCTTCTATACTCCGCCAATCGTCCCTCATGACGTCACTGTTTCTTGAGGTTCCAATTAAGTCAGCCATTTCTTCTTTGCCATTCTTCCTCCCTGTATTCTTTATTTCAATTGTCATTTTTGTATGTCACTTTTTCCACGTTTCGGACACCGAAACGGTCTGACAATTGCTGGTCTGCTCCGATCAGCTCTTTCACTACAGACATTTTATCTTTCACTTCTTCCTTCTAGTCCCAATTCCTTAGTCTTAGGCCTTACACAGTCTTTGAGCATTACGTCTCGCCATGTTCAATTGGTCGAGTCATTTTCCTCTGGAACTCCCACCTTTTGTACGTTTTTTCACTCTTTCCACGAATTCAGGCATAACAGAACTGATTTCTGTTGTGCACTCGATCGCTTGCCAGTTTTTACCTTCGCTTCTTCTCATGGATGGCCAGCGGATTTTGAACGACCATGGCCCACAGAGAAAACATGTCGATTTCGTGACATCTTATAGCATAATATTAGCATACTGCATCACCTCATATGCTGTTCGTAGGCGAAGAATGACTCCTCTTAGACCAGATTTCAACGCGTATTGCACCGCCTCCTTTCTCCAAGTTGCCTATGGTTGCCGTTTAATTGCCGCACGGCTCCATGGTTATCTGGTCTTGGAGCAGTTATTCGTCATTTGACATACTCCAGCTCACGACGTTTATGCGGTAGCATATCAGGAGTACCAGTTCCTCAAATATCACTCGCTCTTAGCGCGAGGTCGCTGTAGCAGACAACATGACGTGAGATGCATCTGGCTCTGCAGGTGCTAAAATACTATAGAGCTGTGGCCGGCTTAAGCGGTCCCCCACTTTCAGACAACTAGCAGCAAGAAGGCGGTTCTACACTTCACAAAATCTAGCTGTGGAAGAGTCATTGGTTGTTTAATGTGTTATATCATCTTATTCCTATTGTTAGACATCTTGTGGACGCCAAATTCTTCAACAATACTTTTGTAGGCTTTACTCTACATAGACACACTGTATTCGATTACAGTGCACCCACACATACCGCAAAAAAAACTTTTTTTTTATCTTGTGTGCACCATAGCCCTGAAGATGAATCCGGCCCTGTCTGAAACATTGAGCAAATTGCGTGTAGCATATCTAGGTGGAATCAACCTTCTTAAGACTCTCGCGATAACGTTATTTTGTATTGATTACGGTGTTCTACTATCTCAACGTAGAACACAGGTGGAGAAACTAGCTTTACACGATCCTCATTAACTCAAAGTCTGCCTGTGGTGCAAATTCTCTCTCAGAGGGACTTACGACGTAATGACTATTGGCCCTTCAGCGCTGACGCATATTTAGCATTTTTGTAGGAAGCTCTGCAGACATGACATGCCGCACACCAGGCAATACTTTTTACAACGTGCACATAAAAGCACGATGAATCACGTCCGTTCGCTAGTTCGTTAGTTCCTCTGGTTGCTGCCAGCCGTTCGTCTGTTGGCGAGGGAGTCTGTAGTCGAGGCGGGCGGGAGGCGGGAGCCAAAGGAGAAGAAAACGTCAAGAATCTATGCGGCTGGATCGCGCTGGCCACCGAGTGAAACTGCCTGCCTCCTGTCTCGCCGTTGCCTCCCTGACGAACTCTTAGAAACTGGCTCTCGATGAAGTGCAGTGCCAGGTTTTTCCAGTTCTTCCCGCCGCCGCAGCGAAGAGCTGTTTACCTTGGCGTACTGTTTGTTCAGACCGGTTCGAAACTCGTATTCCTGGCGCCTCTTCGATGAAGCGGCCGGAAGAGCCAGGCGAGAGGTCAGACGCAAAGCGCAGAATGACAAAATCCCTTCAACGTCACCTTAAGCACGGACAAAGCACAGCA